TCGTTCTTGGATTTTTTTTTTTAATATTTCGAACGATAATTCGCTTTATTCCATTGGATAGCTTTGATGGTCCGTCAGGTCTTCTTTTATCCTGAATCGTATGATTCCTTTTATATCGTTTAATGATATTGAAAACTGTTGAATGACTCAAGTTAACTGTTTCAGCAGTTTCTCTCATAGATTTTCCAAGTTCAATATGCAAATTAATAACTAATTTTCGAATTTCAGGCAAAGTTTCTTTTCGTTTAGCATTCATGGCTGCGCAGAGCTAAAAAACACAAAAATTCCAAAACAAACTGGAGAGAAATACTGCAGACGATTTTATAAATTATTGCCAATTGCTTTTTTTAAAAATAAAAACCCAAAAAAATATTTTTATTGTAGTACGTAGTTAGTATCTAATAGTGTCCCATCACTTATGTGAGCCATTTTTGCTCCGTTCTAAACAACTGTATTTTTATTAAATTAATATTATAATAATTTGAGAAAATGTATGTTATGTAATAATTCTTACTAAATTTAAGTATGAAACACACCCACAAAAAAATTTTACATGTTTTTTTATTTTATTTATTACAGTTTCCTTTTGTAAAGCACAAGTGTCCCATCACTTTTGTGAGACACTGTATAAACTGGAGGGAAATGGAGGACTTTGAAAAGTTGATGGATTATACTTGTAAAAATTAATTATTAATTAATTAATTAATAAAAATGTATATTTAATCAATACTGGATTCTTTCCTTTTACTAATGAAGGGCCAACTCTTTTCAAAAGTCTCAATAATAACCCAAATTGAGTGAAGACTTTTATCTTTTTCTAATTTTCCTTACTTTTGGCCAGTATTCAGTACAGTTTTAATTAAACTTGTAGGAAATTCAGTTTTAATAAATTCACGCTATTACAAAAAAAATTCTTACTATAATTATTCTCTATTTATTTCAATTTGTGATTGAATTAAAAATATTTTTAAAAAATTTTTGAAACTTAAAATAAATTAAATTAATTTTACTTCAAAAAAGTTTTCGAACTTTATTTAAAAAAACATTTTTCGAACTTTATTTAAAAAACATTTTTTCGAACTTTATTTAAAAAACATTTTTCCCGAACTTTATTTTAAAAAAATTTTTTCCGAACTTTATTTAAAAAACATTTTTTCGAACTTTATTTAAAAAGCATTTTTTCGAACTTTATTTAAAAAATATTTTTTCGAACTTTATTTTAAAAGCATTTTTTCGAACTTTATTTAAAAAACATTTTCCCGAACTTTATTTTAAAAACATTTTTTTCGAATTTTATTTAAAAAACATTTTTTCGAACTTTATTTAAAAAGCATTTTTTCGAACTTTATTTAAAAAACATTTTTTCGAACTTTATTTAAAAAATATTTTTTCTATTTTTTACCTCCTTAATAGTTTGTAACATCTATTTTCACAGACCGTAACAGCAATTGTTTCAATTTTTTACACATATTTACGATGCTGCACAGTTAGCAACATTTTTGCACACAGAACATACATTTTAATTTACTTAAGAGTTTACAGAATAGGTTGTTACAATAGATATCACAGGTAGCAGCTTAACACTCAACTTTACCTTATATTATCAAACTTTTCGCTCTATTTATACAGTTAGCAGAAACAAACTACTCAACCTCACTTAATTTAGCAAATGCCACTCCACTCTCCGAAATATAAATGTGTAGTTAAGTAAGTTAAATTAAAACCTACTATTTACTTGCATTTTTAGTATTACTTTAGTATTATTTATGTATTTTTTATAGATTATATATACTTTATTTTTGATTTACATGCATAATTCGTGTCGGGGAAGTTTTCAAATAAGCAAAGGTTTCTAAATTACTTTGGTTTTCTATTCTTTTTACATTGGCAATTTATATTTAATTAATATTTTGATTCTTAGTCAACTTGCTTTCTAAATTTCTCAAAAATACCTTTTCTTTAATTTTTTTGTAATTCATTACATTTGGTTTTACTTTTGGTTTTGAATATTACTATACCCATGCCTGTATGGATGGCGAAACACGAATTGAGTAATTGACATGACTTCCGACATGAATATTAAATTATACGCATTTTTACTTGTATTTAATTTAAACTTATTTCCTCGAATTTCATTAGCGATATATTTCTCATTGAATTAATTCAATTCTCCCTTCGCGCCAAGACAAAAATGCGTAAAAACTGAAAATATTTTCATTAGCTAAAAAGATATCGAAAAACATAAAACACCGAATACAGTTAAAACAATTTTAAAAAGTTTATAATTAAAATTACAGGTCTTACGAAAAAAACAAGTAATTCGGCCATCAGGCAAGGAGGCAGATTTTTCGGTGCCCAAAAACTAAACGTTTTCCATTGGTCCCACTAGGCAAAAAGGCACTGGAGATGCAAGAAGACTTAATTCACTATTCTGCTAAGATTCAAATGTAAACAAATATGCTGATAAGGTAAAAAAACTAGGCTTAGCTGCACTTAAGCAATTTTTAAATTGTTGATAATTCTACAACTATTGCATGGAGATTAACTAAAGGCAAAAGAACCCTAACCCGAAGATAAGAACAACACAATTCAATCATTTTTAAAGCAAAAAATGCACAATTTACCAACATATAAGAATACAAAAGCAGCACTCAGAGCCGAGTGTTTGAAATGTTTTCGTTTTAACATTTTTAAATTCATTGTTGTATTTATATATATGTTAATTTGAAATTTATTAATTATGAATTTCAATTTCTGGTCTTTGTGAAATGTTAATTCTAAATTTCTTCCTTTTTGTCTTTATATATATATACTTTTGGTGCTGCAGATATTATATATATAGATATAATATATATATATATATATACTATATAACATATCTATCTACCTATCTATCATATATATATATATAGTACTAATATTATCTACTATATGTGTATATATTATATATACTATATGTATATGTATATACACTCATGTCCATAAATTAAGGATAATGCAAAATCAGGCAAAGGAAGAGTTAATAGCAAAACAAATTTGACTTATTTGTAAAGCTTATTTATTAAACAAAAAGTAAAGAGCAAAAAAAGATGCTATATGTTTGATATTATTAAAAAATATAGCGATTTTTTCTCCCTGCAGCAAATTACAAAAAAAAAGCTATTTACAAAAAACCAATATTACATGGTTGGTATGATTGTTAATACATTGTATGTCTCCCAGACGATGCAATACAGTCCGTACAACGCCTAGGCATGCTGAGCATCAAATTATCGATCTGATCTTGGGGGATATTGCACCACTGAAAAAGCATTGCTCTCCGAAGTTCCGGTAGACATGTAGGAGGAGGTTGACGGGCTGCAACTCGTCGGCCAAGCATGTCCCACACGTGCTCTACTAGATTCAAGTCAAAATCAGTCTTTCTGTCTAATTTTAATTAATTTAAAGTCTAATTTTTAACTGTAAAATTGCTCTTTTAAAGTTTTTTTTTAACTCAGGTTTATTTTAGGTTTTTCTGCATTTTACAATTTTTAATGAAGATGCTTTGAGTTTTTATGAATTTTTCGCCTTGCCGCGAAGGGAGAACTGAATTAATTAAATGAAAAATATATCTCTAATGAAATTCGGAGAAATGAGTTTTAAGGGCATGCAGTAAAAAATGTGTATAATTTAATAGGCCGTATAACGAAGTCATGTAGCGTCCACATCAGATTTTTTTCCAAAAGGAATTGTAAAATGGATTTCAGATGGGTTCAGAAGAGATATTTTCCTTACTTTTTCACGTCACTTTTTTTACGTAATATTCATAGTCATGGTTTTTGAAATTTATTGAATTAAATACAGGGTGTTTATAAAGTCCCGAACCCATTTTGATGTTTAGTAACTCATAAAATAACGAAGATATAAACAAACTTATGGCATTTATTGATGGAATAACTTAATGTTTTCCTTTTCAGGTTTGAATATCTTTAGTTTTGAAAATATCGTCTGCGCGTGTGGCTAATTTCTGATAATTTCATTTTCCAGTTTAAATATCTGTACTTTTCTAAATATCGTCTGCTTATTAATTGCATTTTTGTCTCTTTTGGTTTTGGCAACTATTGCAATGTTATGTTTACTTTTGATGTGTTTGTTCTAGTACTTTTGTATGTGATGTTTTATCCCAGAATTTATGCCAGAATTAAAAACTTACGTAGGTATATATGTATCTCACATAACTCAAAAGCGAGTAGCAGCAGAACCTTGGAATTTTGTCTATGTGGTTGCTATAACATATATTTAGTTGTGTACTCTCGTTTTCGTTGCGATCGGCAGCAACAAACGTAATACATTATAATAAAATGATTGAATTATGTTTTTCTTATGTTCAGGTTAAGGTTTTTATGCTTTTAATTAATCTGCATGCAATAGTTATAGAATTATCAACAATTTAAAAGTGGCACTAAGGACGCCTCCATTTATTCACGTTGGAAACTGTTAATAGAATAGTGAATAGCGTCAGCTTCTTTTTGCAGAGTGACCAAAAGTCAGCGCCAGACCAAAAATTAAATTTCACTTTTGTTCACCGAAAATTTTGTTTTCGTTCCCGCTGCTCGAATTGCTTGTTTTTGCGTAGAAACTCGACTGCATTTGGTATTTGAGATTTTTCTATATTTTACAGTTTTTAATGAAAATGCTTTGAGTTTTTATGTATTTTTGCCTTGCTGCGAAGTAAGAACTGAATTGGTTAAATGAAGTTCGAGGAAATAAGTTTAAATGCCATACAGCAATAAAAAAGGTTAAATGAAATGCAATAAAAACTGCGCATAATTTTATAGGCCGTTATGGGATGTCCACATCAGATATTTAAAAAATAATACCTAACAGCACATCAAATGATTTTTATTAATTTTACGGATGCAAGAAAGAATTTTATATTTTCTGCCATGTGTATAAAATGCTGTGTTTAAAAAATAAATAAATGAAAACGAAGTATAATAAAATAAATAAAATATACTCACACTGATTTACAATTTCTCTAGATAAGATATCGAAAACAACTCTAGTATTAATAGAAGCTATTAATCCACCTTCCAAAAGACATAGAACAGTTGCAAGCCTATACGATACTGTATTAGCCTTAATTCTGTAGCACTTCTCACCAATTCGTGACCATCCACGTGGACAATTTGTAACTAAAAGATATAAAACACAAAATTATACATAAAGTGATCAAAAATGACTGGGCACGTTTAGTTTTCGTAAAAAATATTAAAATGTTTATATACATAACAAACATAATAAAGTATAGTGGAATTCTTTTTACTTCCTTGTACGAAGTAAGAAGGTAGTATTCTAATCGCGAAAAGTTTCAGGCAGCGTATTTCAACGAAAATATCCATTTTGACCGCTATCGAATGAAATTTAACGATGTTTTTGCGTGATATCTGTACGTAAGGATAGAAAAAAAGACTCTTTTTCTCGAAAAAAAAAAACATAAAACTGCTTTAAAATGAATTCTGAAGACAATGTTTCGTGGCGTCTGTACGAACGTTTGTACGTACGTACGATCTCGCATAACTCAAAAACGATTAGCTTCAGAACGTTGAAATTTTGAATATCGGACTGCTATAATATGCAGATGTGCACCTCGTATTTTGGTTGCAATCGGGCGCACCAAACATATATAATATATATTATATATAATGTTGTATGATCTTAAATCCATTTAGTGCGAATACAAGTTATTACTACTTGCGCAATTGCTGCAAAGTTAGTTAATAATAATTTATTTCCTAAACAGTATTGATTATGGATTATATTATCTCCTAGTTAATTAAAGTAGAATTATTAAGTTTAATTAAGTAGAATTATTATATATATATATATATATATCTATTATCCATTCTATTATTCGGCTCAGTGATCTCAGTTTCTTTACGTTATGTTTGTAAATTGTACATTTTTTGCTTTAAAAATGAATGAATTATGTTGTTCTTATCTTCCGGTTAAGGTTTTTATGCTTTAGTAAATCTGTACGCAATATTTTTAGAATTATTTACAATTTTAAATAATAATTTTTTTTATGGCGGCCATTGCTTGTTTACATTTGAAACAGCAGAATAGTGGATTTGTTGCCAATCTAGAGAAACTTAGCTTCGCAACAACAAAGATAACGCCTTCATTTATTATTGCCAATTAAATCATGCTTAATCCTTTCTGGAATTTTTTCGAGGAAATAAGTTTTAAGATTTACTTCGTAATTTTTAATACAGATATTTTGAGTTTTTATGTATTTTTGCCTTGTCGCGAATTGCGAACTGAATTAATTGAATGAGAAATACTCAATCGTCTGTGAAAAACTGTTTCTTTTTTGTTTTGTTTGCTTAATCTCTTTTATACATCGTTCTAGCTTCATTATAGTATTTGAATAGAACATGTGGCAATGATTCAATAATTCTTTAACTTATAGAAATTTTGTGCATTCTGAGTTATAATTTGAACGAAATATAATACTGTTAAGGGAACCTAGCGCCAGAGTGTCGCTATGCTAAACAAATAGAGTGAATTTTAAAGAATGCATTTATTCTATTGTGGTCTATGCGCTGTCGGCGAAGTAGATTTAATTCAATCCAATAAGTTTAAATGAAATGGGGAAAAAATGCGTATAATTTAATATTCCGTTCAAGGAAGTCATGTAGTGTACACATCAGATTTTTTATGTTACGTATTGAGATGCCGTTCCGTTATCGGACCCGTAAAAAATCGACAAACTATTGTTGACGCCGATGATTCCAAAAATAATTATCGTTACCCTAATGGAAAGAAGGAAGCACAATAATAAATAACGACTCAAGAATATTATTTTAATTTAGATGAATGGATAATTTCATGTACTATATATTTTTATTAGAATCCATTAAAAAATAAAACTAAAAGTATAAAAGATTAAAAATCTGAAAGATTTCAGATTTTAACGGTTGCCCAACAGAGTTGTCTATAGTTTTTGACGCTGTCCCCAATCTCGTAGTCTAGCACTCTCTAGTTCACTCAATATTGCTAACCCACTTCTTTTTTATTCTTTTTAGATTTATTATTAAGCATCCTTTTCTTCGCACTTATGCCATATACATCCTTTGTCAGAAACTTTCCAGGACAAAGGTCGTAAAAAGTATAATACTGTATTTATCGAGTGCCTACGAAAACAAGAAAAAATCGAAAAAAAAAAAAGGAAAAAGGTGTAGAGACATTAGGTTTTTTTTTTTGGAAGCAGGCAGGATGAAAAATTAGCAATCGCCTTCGCCGGGAATGGAACCACGGACCTCTGGAATACCGGCCCAGCGTACAGACCACTACACCACGAAGGCACGCTAGGAAAGTGGGAGAAATACCTTATGAAGGAAAGAAATTTAAAAAAATAAAAAATCTGAGGGGTTTCAGGTTTTAAATTACGTCCACAGGGGCGTGTTTTTTTTTTTTTTTTTTTTTTTTTTTTTTTTTTTTTTTTTTAAGTCCAAAGGGATTTGAATCCCGAAGGACTATTAGTTTCGTTTTGGCATTTTGCGTCGGACACATAAATGTCGGTTCACTTTTCAAACTGTTGCCACAAAATGTTAGAGTCCTGCATTATATTTGAAGAAATTAAATAATGAAAAATCTGCATAAATGTATGTATATTTCTCGTATTGTGATTAAAACAACGGTACATAGTGTCATCGAATTTTGAAATAACGTAATCCTCCAACGAATATGAGCATGTGTAAGACCAAATTTGAAATTTGAAATTTGTTTTATGATCGATTTCCTATTTTTTAAAACTTTGACGAATTTTTGATTAACAAACTCAAGGATTTCAAAGCGAGCAATGGCAACGTTGTGCAAAAAAAAAAAAACATTTTTATCTCCAGCGCGCGAGTCTCTGTATCGGAAATTCTAAGGATATGCTCGTTTTAAAACTATTTTGCGATATTGCTGTTGCACTGGATCTTATGGTTTAAGTGCGAGGAACATGATATTTAATAAAGAAAGGTAACACACAAAATGTTAAAAAACGCCCCTTTGGACGTAATTTAAAATCTGAAACATTTCAGATTTTTATGTTTTATTTTTTTTATTTTTTTTTTTAACATTTCGTGTGTTACATATATTTATTAAATATCGCGTTCTTCGAACTTAAACCATAAAATTCAGTTCAACAGCAATATCGCAAATAGTTTTAAAAAATGAGCATATCTTTAGAATTTCCGATACGGAGACTCGCGCGCTGGAGATAAAAATGTTTTTGCTGTACAACGTTGCCATTCCTCGCTTTGAAATCCTTCAGTTTGTTAATCAAAAATTCGTTAAAGTTTTACAAAATACGAAATCGATTATAAAACAAATTCCAAATCTCAAATTTGGTCTTCCACATGCCCATATTCGGAGAAGGATTATGTCATTCAAAATTCGATGGCTATAGGTACCGTAGTTTTATTACAATGCGAGAAATATACATACATTTATGCAGATTTTTCATTATTTAATTTTTCAAATATAACGCAGGGACTCTAACATTTGGTGGCAACAGTTTGAAAAGTGACTTGCCATTTATAGTGACTCAATGCAAAATCGCAAAACGAAAGCAATACTCCTTCAGGGACAAAGCCCCTTTGGACACAATTTTTGACACAAATGCTGGGATCACTTCGAGTTTTATCCAATAGTTTAGCAAAAATTATTCGTCTTTCCTCTTTTTGTTATGTGTTAATGAGTGAGGGACGACTCTTGCATTAAGTTTCCGTTTTCCCAAATCTTCAAGTAAAACCTTATGAAACAAATCACGATTAGAATTCAGTTCTTCTGATATCATACGCACAGTTAAAATTCGACCGCCTCATCCGCGACCATGAGCGCAAACACGCATGCACCATTTGGACCTAATTATTCTCAAAATAGGGTGGAAGGATAGGGACTTTCTTTCCCTCCAGCATAGCTCTTTCCCGAGAAGAGAAGATCTTTCACATTGCAGCAAGTAATATCGCCCCTTTTGGACAAGTCTATGTGTTTTGGCAGAACGCCAACCAGGGTTGCGCTATAGACGGTCGAACTATACACGACGGTCTTCTTGCAATAACTGCCTTAACTCCACGTTTGCATCGGTATGTGCTATGGACTGGCGACTAGCTCTGGTATCGTCTTGCACTGCATCTCTGCTTTCACGAAACCTTTAGTACCACTCGAAAACACGACTTCTTGTAAGTGTTCGCCTGCATATGCTTACTTAATCATATTCCACGTTTCACTGAGGGTTTTTCTGAGATTAACGTAGAACTTTATGTTCACTCTTTGCTCACAATCAGCATCCATTGTGTTTAGCGAGTGCGACAACGATCCGAGCAATGTGATACTAAGTATACTTCCGCGCAAACATTCCATGTAGTAAGTTTGCGTGGAAACATAGTCATGGTCATGTCAAGAAAGAATACATACCAAGTAACATATAAACAACATTTTTCCTTTTTAATACTGCAAACTCAGAAATTTAAAAAAAAAAACAAAAAAAAAATTGTCCTGGAACTGTTCTGACAAAGGGTGTACAATTCAACAGCAAAAAAAAGTAGCGTAGCGGAATACATTTAGAATACAGGATGCAGGTATTAAAGTATTGACATACATTTTTCTGTTTTTCTTCAGTCTTTTCTCTTCATCATATCAATGCTCAGTTTTCTTACTCTAGGTGAAGGAAATTATGTTCTTTGCAAATCCTTTTTCTTATATTTTTATTATTAATGTTTTGTGTGTTTACTTTATTTATTAAATATCGTGTCCTTGACGCTTACGCCAAATAAAATTCAGTTCAACAGCAAAATCGCAAAATGTTTAAACAAGTATATCTTTAGATATAATTTTCTTAGTTATATGTAACTAAAATTAAATTCGAGAAGATGCTAACAAAAGAAGATTTTAAATCAAAATTATCCATAGTTTATAAGAATAAAATAACTGTTTAAGTTTAGAAGAATGAAGAAATTGTTCTTTTGTGTGAGGAAAAACTAAAGCATTCAACTAATCATCTGCCAATAAATGGCAACACAGGATGCATGCATTTACTTTCATTTATTCTGCAGTCACATTACAAGGGAAATAAATATAGCAATCTGAAAATTTAAGTTCTCGCAAGGACAAAAGGGAATAGAGGAATTTTCAAAACAAATTT